GCGGATGCTGGTCTGTCAAGGAGGGGAAGCTCAATTTCGGGCTACATCATAAAATGTGTCTGTTTATTTACACATGAATTCTACTCTCCGTTCCTTTTCAAGAAAATGATCTGTGACCCTACATACATAACTGGGGTGATTGATATAAGTCAGTCTGCGAACACAAGCAACTACAATCAAACACACCAGAAATAAAAGATTAATCCGTCGCTAGTCGTTTTTAACAAAGAGAGTGTCGCTAAAATGATTCGAAGAAGTCTCCAGTTCAACAGAACAGAATGAGAATTGAAAAACGCTTCCACGAATGCCGAGACCAAAAGATCGGTGATTGGCTCATTTCGCTGTCAGACAGATCATCCAATCATCATGCAGAAAAGCTGAGTATCCGGGTCAGGCCATAAACGCCCACTGTCCATAGACTCTGGGCGGGACAAAACCATCATTTATCCAATGACTCGTCTCGTTTCAATACATTGGGACTTCTCTCGAGACGCCCAGCGTCCGCGCTGTAGACGCTCAGCATCCACACGGTTTAAAGCACAGTGAAGCTGCGGGAATGAATGAGAAGAAAGTCTCGTCGTAACCAGTCTTAAGAAGCTGATTTGGAACAGAAGTTGAGCGCCTTGTAGCGCATATTTAGTCAATGACATGTACACACAATTGTATGTACACACATATTTTAGGGGAAGCTGAGCTTCCCTTGCAGTCTTAGAGCAAATCACCTCTGACATATATATATATATATTAGGGTGGTCCATTTTGGAAAAGTTTGTCGGATTCGTCGGGCTGGGTCGGAAATCTTGTCGATACTATGACACAAGGATGTGTGCAAAATTTTATTCCGATCGGATAATTTTATCCCGTCCCGCAGAGCGACCAAAGTTTCCCCTATGGAAAGAATGTTACGGGGCTGAATGGTAGTACGGTTTCTCCCGTACAGTAAGGATTTTGTTTTGCTCAGTTCGCACTTGCAATAATTCAAAGACGGAAGACAGGAACGCATGTATTGCAAAAAAGGCAACCGTGGTGATCCTGCAACACTGGTGAGATTGTTGGTCCATGTTAACTGGTCCATCTGTCTATCTGTACATCTGTCTACATCGCGCGACTGTCTGGAAGTGATCCGATCCGTTTTGCATTTTTTTCAGGCCGGGAGTGGTGC